GACAAAAACACATCCAGAAATGTGTTTGGATGCTGGGTTTCCAAGCCAAACACAGGCCAGATTCAGATGTGATCATGCTGAGTGCGTAACTAAAATGCTCAGAAGTGAATGGCATCTTTTGCCAGAGCTTAAACCTCTTGGCTCAGCGAGTATAAACACCAAAATTGTGTGTCACACACTCATACGCATGCACGCGCATTAACTGCTTGCTCGTATGCAAAGACTGCCAGAAACCGGAATTGTTTGGTGTCTCGAGCGGCTGGTGCTACAGACAAGGCGGTTGAGCTTCCTCCAGAGCGGATTTGAGGCAGTCACTGTTGCTCTGTACATCGTTTTACAGGAGCAGAGACTTTGGAGCAGATGGTTCGCAGACGGTGACAACCAGGAGGGCCAGAGCACTGTGGATTCACCGCACTACCAGACTGGCTTCAGACAGAACCTGGCGTATGTCCCACCAGTCAACCAAATCTTCATGGGGTCTGGTCGATCCAGGGCGGATCTGGGTTTACTTTTGTCCCCTGCACCAGACTGTAGGTGCTCGTGGGGTAAATTAAACAAGTGCCGCCTCTCTGTCACGTCTAATGACCTTAAATACAGACAAAGACTTTGCAGGGCCTTTAGATGTCACACTACGGAGGAGTGATGAGGTGGGAAAATGATCTATGTGGGTTTATCCTCTTCTACACCTCAGCCACAGAACGTGTAACAAAACGTGTTTTTCCAAGGTTTCAAATTGATGGCAGAGGGAATAGACTGGGCATCATCATGGCTGCAAGAGGTAGTTATCACAGTTACAATATAAACACAAACTGCACACAGAAGTTATGACAGACAGTATTAGTGGTGGCTGGATCCAAACACTCAGATGAATGATGGGATGGAGGGCTTGGCCTCGGCCGAGCCCTACAGCAGAAAGGGTTTCTCTGGTTACACACACAGGAGATCAATACTCCCACAAAGGCCTGTAGCTCTCCAAGCACAGGTACATAATCCAATGGCCAAATATAATCATTATACGTTCCATCTTTCTCTGCCTCTTTTTCTTTCCATGAGGTCAGCAGAGTGACTGTGAGTGTTCATGGTGTAGTAGAGGCAGTCGTAGCAGCACTTAGATTGTAAACTGTATTGTTCTGGAAAACCAGATCTTAAACATGTTTCTGTTTTCAGTTCCAAATCTTGCTACGCTATAAATCTTTACTGTTCCATAACTTCATATTGTAAAACTTCTGTTCTTGTTTGGGTTAACTTTGCGCTTGACTGCCTCCTACAATACAAATGCCCCTTAAATGAATCTACTTTTACTAACAAATCATGCAAGCAGAGCTGCGCAAATGTCACTCTGGCCTGCCACCATAAAGACTTTTGTGCCACCTGAAAATCCTAAAACCGATTTGGAAAAACTGTCGAAAATTAGCCCAGGTTGCAATGGTGTGTTTGTGTTGGACTTTACTCCGTCTTAAATCTCAAATCAGGGATTACATTAAGAGTTTCAAGAGGTTTAACATTTTAAGTTGTTTACACAACATCTAATGTCACTGACAGGGCAGAAGCAGCTGTTGTTCAAAGATTATAGTACAGTGGGTGGGTGAGAGAAAGCAAGGAAAATACACAGATGGACTGATAGGCAACGCAGGGCTTAATAAAAAATAAGGAAGAGGAATCGAACTTGTCACATGCGTTTATAAATCAAGTGAATCTGATGACAGGCGTTGCTGGGAAATCTCTGTAGGGATTTTCTTTATGGCATCAAATTGGAACAGCCGGGGGCTGCAGTGTTATCACTCTCCTTACCTTTCCCCTCCTCCCCTCCCATTAGCTCACAAGACAGAGAGACAGGGGAGCCCAGTCTGTCAATGCTGATACAGCCGGAGCAGCTATTAATAAAGTCTCTTTATTGTTTATAGCCTGTTCGAAGCACCACTCCAGGGATCCACAGGGTAGAAGAGCATTTTACCGTCTCAAGGGTACAATGCAAATGCCTGCCATACGCGCTAGTCAAGCAGCCACGAGAGACACGAGACGAGACTTCCTCATTCCTCTAGAGATTGTCTAGAACATTTTCCATTGAAGCAAAATATGAAAATTATGCATGGAAATTAAACAGCTGGGTGACAATGGTAGAATTTGACAAAGATTTTCATGAGCATTGCTCATAAGGTTTTGCAATCACTTGATGTTTTCGGAAGTAATGTGATTAATAGCAATGGGAACACTTTCACCAAATAATAAACAATGGTGCAGTTGTTTAATCTCATTGCCAAAGACAAGCAAGCAGGTCAAACTATTCAATGTGGCTTTAGATGCTTTGAAATAGTTTTTTTTAAATATCTGTCCACTACAGCCTTACTGCATGCTCATACATGCAGATGTCCATTTTAGTTTAAGCGCCGCTATAGTCCCTAGAGAACAGTACCTAAATATTCCGTGCATCCCAGCTGGTGGAGAATTCACATTTTATTATTGCCAAACTTCAAAAGTTTGCCTAAAATTTGCTTGGAAATAGCGCTTGTGACATTGTACCACCACATATTCTGCCTGTCCATGAGCTCCACACAATCTTTCGCCGCCATTTTCAGGATAGGGTGTTTTATCAGGACACCGCTGTTCTGACAAACACCGGCTGAGAACAGCAAATGAATCCCAGCAGTGCAAATGATATACAGTGTTTACACTGATCAGCATCTTGTACGGAACACATCAGACACGGTTTACACAACTCGTCATGTTTGCTGTGAAAATGCCTCTCCTCTTGACATTATCTGGGCTTTACTTTCTTGTGTGTGTTTTACAGAGGGATTAGATTCTTGCCGACACAGAGGTAAAACAAGAAGATCATCCATGTTGTTCTTGTGCGCCTTGGCCAAGCTGGGAGACGACATCCAGTGTAATTCAAATACGTATATATGTAAAAATGCAAGCCAGGGTGATCAGATAAGCATTTCCATAAATAGTGTATACCTGCAGTCCATGCTGCTTATTTCCTGTCTCTGTTTAATCCACAGCATCTTTACGGCCTGCAGTTATATAATCCTATGCTTATCCTAAACATTGGTGTCTGGTGTCCGGTGAAAAGAGCTGATAAAAATGTTCATTTTTAGACTGTCTTAAGTTCCCAGTGATCATCATAACGACTTCTTATATTTTCTTCTGAATATAAAATCAATATGTTGAGGTTACAGAATTCTCGATTTCATTTAGAGATAACATTTACCATACTGCATTGCAAAGCCTGGTAATTTTAAGTAGTACGAGGGACCTATAGTTTGCAAAGTCCTTGAAATTTGTATTTATTTAAAAGGTCACCTACCAAGGTATTTCACGATGAACTTTTGCAGCCACTTCTTGAACCTCCACTTCCTGATCACCTGCATTTCAGAGGGAGGCCTCTTGTCCCATTGGACTGTAGTTTATAATTATTATTTACTCAAGGGAAGTGATTATTTTATAATGTCAGTCAGTTGAGCTCTCATGAGACGGCACTGGATCTCCTCCTGTTTGACTTCAGCGGCTTACATTTTTACATTGTATTTATTTGAACTAAGGAGTGTTGCATTTCACTGGCTTTTGCCAAGTGGGGATTTTTCACTAGCGGTCGAGCAGTGGGGAATTAACAACACATGCCTAAGTCTGAAATGTACCTTTATTAAACGGGCCGCAGCAGCACTTCACAAGATGCACACACAGTGACACTTTTACAGACAGCTTTTAACCGCAATGCTCAGGCCACTGATCTTCCACAGAGATGTAACTCAGTCACTGGATAAGGAACTGTACTGGGAGGTTTGCCGTGGCCACATCACCAGGGAACAGTAGCTTTAAGTAAGATGGACATGGGGAGTCTGCTGCCGGTCTCTAAAGGACTGAAGAAGAAGGGTCCTGCTATGCACTCAATTTAGACTTCACAACAACCTCCCATCAGAGACATCATTCTTAAGATAATTAACATCAGTAACCATGTGCAACAATGCCAAATTTTAATTAAGGAAGGTCATAAAGTTTCTTGGAAAAGGTCAAGCAGGCACGGCAAAGTCACAAAAAGGTGAGAGGGGGTTGGGGAGAATTTCCCTTAGAAACAGGAGGGCTTTAGTAGCTAAATGCGCCATGGAATCACAGTTTCCAACCCAGAGAGCAGCAACAGCCATGGCAGTGCTGAAATATGAGAAACTATCAGGGTTTATTTCAAGTTTATTTACTCTTTCACCACTTCACTAAATGATCGTCCAATTTAACACACCAGGCCAAAAATGGAGAAAAATCCTCGAGGATAGAATATTTTCCTCTTCCTGTTAAACAAGGTTTTTCTTTTTTTTTGACAGCCTGAATGATATCTGCCACTGTAATTGCTTCCTTATTTGGTGAATTAAATATTTACACTTGGCCTATCCTAATCCAAAGTTTATGAGAGACGTAAAAGTACATTAAGGGAAAGACTTCTGAGGCCATCACCCCAAATGGCGTGTTTGTACTGTCTGAGAGAAATAGTTTACTTTTTGAAAAAAATATTTCCCTTAGCTATATTCACACACACAAAGAAATTCCAGATTTGACTTCTCATTTAATGGTCTGACATCCTGTGTGCACCACAAATATCTCTCAAGCTGACTGGAGGAAACAGAGACAGCCATTGAGGAAAACTGCAGTTCGTACTTTGAAGAATTCCACTGAGGAGAGGAAGGGGGTTGGAGGGTGTGTATACCTCAGAAAAAGAGCTCTGGCTGAAATGAGGCCGTCATGGAAAAAACAACCAATATTTCATGCACGGATACGACACTGTGCACCTCAAAAATGCAGACGGTGAAAAAGCAAGGCTGAACGCAAGGTACAAGGGTTGCGTGAAACAGGTGGAATGCTGAGAGTGGGAAAGAGTTCTGCTATGGGATAACCGGGCTGCTTTCTTTGATATTCACCAGTGTAAATTTTAAAGTGAACATGGATGGAATTGGGACTGACTGAATATCTCTATACACACACATCAACATATGGCTGTATAACATCCTTACCTCTCCTGCAGTGCCTCATGGCCATTTTGCACATCCTGGACTCAGCGATGGTGGGACAGGGTATTGTGTCCTTGGGTGGTTTCTTTACAATGTGCCGTGTCCGGGTCTCCAGACCCCACTTATAGCCACAGGTTTTGTTTCTCCTGGTGCAGGCTCCCCATTCACTCCACTGGCCCACCTCACAGCCCTCTGCAGAGACACACAGAAACAGTGATGTGCAGTGAAACCACAGCGGAGTGAAATTTAGAGGCAACTCTAAGACCCCAGGTCAAGCTTTAATACAGTGTGAAGGAGCTTTACTGGGAACCTCTGTGTGTGGTCCCAGTTGGACTGCTTGTTTTTCAACCCAAAATAAGAAGGCCACATTATAAAATAATGTTAACAGCTAAAGAAAGTTGCAAAAGACAAGATTGTTTACGCTCTTAAAACTTGATTTATGTTTTGTACATGTTGTTTCACGTACCTCCACACTCCATGGTGTCCTCCAGCGGGGCAAAGCCCTCTGGGCACTTATCATAGCAGCGCCCTTTGTGTAGGTAAAAACCTGACTTACACTTGGTGCAGAAGTCTTTGCTGAAGCAGGACTCACAGTTCTCTATCCTGCACCCTGGAGGAAGAAGGAGAGAAAGCGGAGAGTCATCAGGGTCTGAGCAACCCTCTCATCTGGAGTTGATCGAAAGCTAAGGGGTTTGGGAAAGGGGATTCTTGAAAGGATTACACTGTCTCTCTTGCAAAAAAAATAAAAACCATAGATGTCCTGTGAATCATTTCTCTCTGGGGTTCAAGTATATTTCAGAAAACTTGTTTTGCCTGACAGAGATTTTTCTTTTATCTTCCTGTTCTTGTTTAGAGTGAGCGTATCCACAGTGTGAAAACGCAACAGCAGAGATGGTGAGGGATTATGTCACGCTGACCTCTTTCAACAATTTCCACAGACATCCAACAGTCTGGATACAAACACACAAGCTCACATGTTTTCAACTAAAGGTGTGCTGCAACAGGAAGAATACATCATATTAGGGCTCTGAACAGTGTTCATAATATGCTGTCCTATCACTCAACACTGCTACAATTTGTCTGTTTCCATTACTGAGTAATATTGGGAAGTCAGGGTTTCATTAAAGTGTGAATGATCTCTCATGATCACAACGCTGGCCAGCTGTGTGGACGCTACGAAATGAAAGGGGTTTGGTGTATTAGGAAGTGGGGTGCATGGGGGACAACAACATATTAGGCCGCCTCGACAAACAAATGCAGATGCATTTAGTCAGCAAACACAACAGCACACTTATCCTCCCACGCCACACCCTGCCTTTGCGCATGACACGCAGTGCCGCGCTTGCAAAGAAAGGCAATGTGTCATCAAGCTCTTACTCTGCAAATAGCACATCAGGCAGGGCCAAATTACAACAACCACACCAACAGGGCGACGCACAGGCCCACATGATTAGAAGGAGCCTCCCAGAGCTGTCTAATTTATGATGCCCCTCAGAAGCTCTATGTGGCCCTATTGCCCAATAGGGTTCCAATGTAGGGAAACCGCAAATCTATAACCTGCAGCCACCGTCTCCCACTGCTTGCAGGGGGGCTTCTCAGGTAGGATGTCATCTGCTCCTCGGATTGTGTCAGGGACGCAACCAGTCTTTAGCGCATGTGCATTTCTCAACGCGTAAACCTGCGTTACAGTGATTTTCCACATGTGAGAGAGACGGAGGCTGAGGACTGCTCTTTTATGTGTGACCCTTGCAGGGCCCAGGGAAGGGAAGGTTCTCACAATCACACCCCTTAATTACACCATCTCCAGCTAACCATCAGGCCTCCTCCTCGACATTCCTCCAAAACGAGGGGGTCCCTCCCCGCTTTACTTTGAACCCTAAAGTATGGCCTCTGCCCACTCACTCTGGTCTCACGCTTTCCCGACCAGTCTAAACAAACCATGGACACACACACACATATGCACAAACACACACATACCAATCAGATATGGCTGGAGATAGACCCACTCTGCAATTAAGCTGTACTCCATGTTCTGAAAAACGTAGAAACACTGACCACAGATCACTGTTCTCTTTGGGAAAGTCATGTGTCCTCACATAAGTTTAATACTATGAATTCAATCAGTTGATATTATTTAGCTCAGGGGTTTTGAAGCGGGCCTCCCCAACAGTTTCCGGGTAGGTTCAGTGAATGCAAGTGAAACAATATTACATTACTTATTGCATTAGTTATCAAAAGGACATCACATAGAATAGCCTTGGGACAGATCTTTTTTTTTTTTAACTATTTGGTGTTGTCAGAAGTTATGTCAAACAGCAATATAAGGTTATCTTGGCTCAAATGTTGAGTGTCTATGGGATCAAATAATATAATCATGATTCCATAGGCATGGAGGAATTGAGCAAAACTTACCAAGTAAACTAAAGCTGTGGTGGTGGGGGGTGCCGTTTCCCAAGCTTTGTCTGAGGGAAGGCCTGCAGTCTCAGACTCCGAAAACCCCACACATTTGCTCCATTTTATCTAATATCTCAAAATATGTCTTGGATCTCCGCTGTGCTGTAAAGGTTTTGGTGTGGAATATGTGCATCGGGGGGTGGGGGTAAGAATGCATTTTGCTGTCCTTTTTAAGCTCTATGCCTCTCATCCACTTCTTTCTTGGTGAAACGAAATCAGTATGGCTTGGGTTTGATACAAGCCCAATACAGGGAGCAAACTAATAAATCACAAAGCTAATTGGAAAGCACAAAGCTGTCTTTTGCCCTTCACACTTCCCAGGCCTGTCATCACCTGAGAGACTTTTAGCTCCCAAACACAAAAAAATTTAAAGAGTAAGAGGGGGAACAAGAACATCTGGCAGTACTCTTAAGCACTGGGGTTGTTGTGCAATCCTCAGTTATTGACAGTAAATACAAGCAACACATATGTGCGAAAATCTGTATCCTGTCACCAGCAGTAGCACTTCACAATGGTTTTGATTAAAAAACACTGTTGGTTTCAGTATTAGATGTGGTAAGGCAATGGCGCAAATGCTCAGAAATCTTGTTTTTTAAATAGAAGATAAGTAATAATGTCACTGTGTGAGACAGATGAGGTGTATGACACATCAATGTGGCTCCATGGGATTTAGAATGCAGGGAGGCAAAGCTGGAGGGTGAGAGGTCACCGGAGAATGAGGAGGGTCGGAAGGGATCACTATGACTTATCCTTTGTCCAGTTATCTGGCAAAAGGCTATCTGGAACACTGGAGAAGCTCCCACACTGTTCACTGGCCGTGCCTGCAGTTAGGCAGATTGTCCGGCAGCTCCAGAAACAGATACAGGGGAGTGGGTTCATTCTCCCTTTGGGATTAACCTCTGGGCCACCTTTAAAGTCCTCATCTAGGTGCCTCAGGGAGACTAATGAGAAATAATGAGGTCATCATATCCCATTGAAGGCACGGTGTTCCTGGGACTTAAACGTATTATCATCATTATCTCCCGGCCTGGTTCTGGCTGTGAGGTTATGAACACAGGAGGAAAAGCCTGATGTTTCAGCTCTGGGAGGAATTTCAAATGCTCCCAGTGGAGTGACCGAGGGTCCACGATTTGAAGGGATGTCATCAGCGCTGCACCAGTTCCACCATTTTCCGTACTGCTGTTACACTTTTGTTGTTTGGTTTCATTTTGTGCTTGAATTTCATGTGGTTTGCATGTGAAGTGCATTCGAAGTTGAGAGATGAGTCACAGAGCGTCACTTGTAACCTAATGGTGCTTGATTGGCAGAAGGCAGTCCCTGAACTGTGGTCTGGATAGGGAACCCACCGACTTTATCACGGACACTCAAAGCCTCAGGTCAACTTCAGTCAACAGTTGTTCCTCCGCAGGCTGACAGCCCCATGTGTAATCACTCTGTTTATTTACATGAATATTCACTGTATCAAGAAAGGGTGCTAAATCATTTTTTGAAGACTGACGAATCTCTCGTGTTCCAGACAGGGTCTTTTACGTTATCTGAGCTGGAGGTGGGTTGTCAGACCACTCATCAGTCTACCTCCAGAAAGCTAACCAGACCCGATGCTGCGCAGCAGGAGTGTCCATGTTGTAAAAGGCCTGGCAGTGCGAGGGGGAAAACAAGCCCTATTTTTCCATCCTTTGCCTCCAAGCTGAGTTGAACAGTTCTGACCTACTCTCTAGGCCCCGGGTTTGGCTGACATGGAAGCTCTGGCTTGCTCACTGCCACCCAGCCATGTCATGTGGAGCTGCGGATGGCAGGAGCTCATGGCAAAGGCCAGAGCTGCCATGTTCATCCCAACTCCCTCCATGCTGTTTTTTTTAACACATGGATGCTCCTCCGAATGCTGGCATAGAGCAAGGTGAAGCAGAGGTGGTGTTCCTGTCAATCGGCATCTCCCAGAGAGAGAACAGGGATGACAGATGTGCCAGCGGTCCTCCTAGCCTCTTCAATCCAAGGATCACAGTCTGTGATATACCAGGATCTGCTCCTGTAGCTGCTCAGCCAACTCCAGCATACATAACATCAACTCAAGCTTCATTCAGTGCTCAAGCAGAGACAGCCCTTCCACTCACACTATAGTATGCACAGTTACACAGTGTTTTGAGAAAAAAAATTCAACTTTGGTGGGTCCATTGTATTGTCTGGCAAATCTGAAAGTGAAGTTAGTAAAGCTGTGATGATTAAATTTCCCTTTGTAAAGCTCAAAGGCCAAAAGCAACTGGTCTCTTTGTTGGTCAGACTGTGCAATGGAAATACCCACAAGCTCAGAATTAGAGTGAGAAAGACAGACGTGGAGAGGCAGAACGAGAGAGAGTGCTCCTAGCGCTGCCAAGTAAAGGTTGCAAAACCTTGTAGTTGTAGTTCCTTTACACAGCTTTGTTACCAATTTGGCTGTAGCCCATGATGCAGGGCTCTTATCCACCTCCAACCCAACAAATTCCCATGATGTACTTTAAAACTAAACAATCACCTTGAAATGCAACAATGGGATTCGTGACAGATTTCCTCAGTACGAGAAATGCAGTATGAAAGAAAGCACAATTGGCAATCCAAAACAATTACCTCCAACAGAAAAGTCTCTAGTGGCACATTACGCTGGCACTGAATGAGCTGTGATATTTAAACCACGCTTCTAGGATATTGGCAATCTCAGGCCTTGATTAGACTAGTTGTTGGTTGGCAGAGAACACAGCTGGGGTTCCTGCGTGTTTTAAAGCCTGCTGCAGTGTAATAAGGCAACTGGGCTGGTGGCTAGAGTGTGTGTATGTGAGTGTAGCAGTGGGGGGTCCATAACACACCCCAAGGGAGGAAGTTTTGAATGCAGCCTTGCTCCCATGTTGACCCTCTCAACACTTTCTCTCTTTTAAAAACAGCTCTGATAGTCGCCTTTCAGCTCATAAATCTTTCAGCCAGAGAGCTTGCTTGCGATACTAAGTGACAGAATATGCTTTGGCTTGGGAATGTATGTTAAAACCGAGGTATTATGAAATGTGACTGAGGCGAGAGCATGACTGCACCGCATTCACACAGATTTGGCTGCACATAAAGCAGCACACTGTGTGACCATTGCTGCAAATCTTCCCTGCAGAGCAGTGGGTTGACACCCACAGACACTGGTGTGGGGCCTCTTCTGGGCAGCTGATAAGAACCCCGGTGGATAACACTGGAGTTACTGCATATGGTTTATGGCTCATATCAACCCCCCATTAGTTGCTGAAAGGAGTTCTTGCAAAGCAGAGACATGCAGAAAGGTATTATGCAACATGAAGGCATTGCTAACAAACCAGCTACACCTCAGTAAAGTTAACACTGTGGCTCCCACGTCACGGGCCTCTTTGGAATCCAGGTCAAGTGTAGCTGCAAATGGGCCTCAAGTTAAGTTATGTTGCGGAAAGTCTAGTTCTCATTGTTTTTGGCGCTGAATCTGGTGTTATTTTCTCTGCAGTGTAGGGACCCCCCCTCCCCCCAGAACAGTGAGCCACAGTTTGTCATGTATTCTTGAGAAATTAGAAGGTTATGTAAGGCCGATAAATTTGGATTCTAAATTAGGGTCATAGAGGGCTGATTCTGATCTTTTATGAAGAGTTGAAAATGCAGAAAATATTAGGTGGTTGCCCCCAAACGCTCTCTAAAACCACCTTTTTTTGCATAATTGCAAATTTCATAACTGAAAATAATTCTGTGTTCAAGTTCCTTTGATACTCCTTTATTACAAGAGAGTAAAATATTTAAATGTTCTTTTACTAGACTAGAGGCCATGCCACATGCTGTCAAAAATATTAATGGTGAATATATCACACATCTATTTACCTATCCAGTGTTTTTTGCCAAGTGCATGGTGGAATAGGCTACAGCCCACCCATGTTGCTGAAAAGGAATATGAAGAATGTTTTTTAAATGCTGGTTCAGATGTTTTCCCACCATTAAAACGATTATAAATACATTTCACAAATGGAATATTTCTGTGTTAAATAACCAGTATTAGTAGTAGTCCTTAAAGGTGCAGTGTGGAAGAATTGCAATTGAATTTGGCCACCGATAGGGGCATCCGAACCGTTCTCAGCAACCTCCCAATGAACAAGGTCAGGCCAGAACTCAACACAGCCCATGAGACCGATGGTGTTTGACTTTGCTTACAGGCGAGAATGGAGGGTGTCACGACTAACGCTACTCTCCTAATACCCTCTGACTGCTAATTCCAGTGAACATGTGACCAAACCCAGCCTCCAGGACCAACAGATGTCATGTCGAGGACTGTAACTTCTTCACTTTCTGTTGATTGTGTTACTTAATTTTTGTCGGCCTTATCGGTCAAAGTATCTGTGTGACTTTCCTTGTGTCAAACCGAATCACATTTCTTGCTCACAGAGCAAAAAGTGTATTCATACATTGTCTCCACCCATAGCTCTCTCCGTCACATCCCTCAGGAGGCCCTTCAGAAAAACTGAAAGTGAGGTTCCAGCCAGTAAGTGGCTGAGTGTATAAGCCTCTTGCTTGTCTAGCTCTTGTTTTCCTTTACTAAGGCAGTCCACAAAAAAATCTTGAATGAGATAAGATCACACAGACAAACTCTGGTGTAATAATAAGCAGCTGCTCCTCTAAGTGATATAAGAGCCTTGTGTTTAAAAAGCTCATCATAACAGAGACGTAATTCCACGTTCAAGACTTCTTTGGAAACTAGGAATCACACTGCAGCTCTGATCGAGTTGGCGGGGAACTCCTCATCATCATTTTGTCCACTGTTCCTTTGAGCTCTTGCGTACTAGCTCTCACAACTTACAAGTAATATTCACCAACCCAATAAAATATCCATTTATGGAGGTTAGACGTGAACTGTTTAGTGAAAATGACATGCGGAGCGCAGCTGAGAATGAGGGTCAAATAGGAAACTGGATTAGAGAGCCATGACTAAAGCAGTGATCAGATCAAAGTAGGTCTCACTCTAAGATCTGATGCTACGTGACAATACAAGATGTTGTTCTATGAGCAGTTTGTACGGAGAGGGATTCAGATTAACTTGCCGCACATCAGAATCAATTAAAGTCAAAATTCACCCAGCATTGGGATACGGTGGTTAGGATAGCAGGGTTAAAGTGAAAAAAAAAAAGACTTCAATAGAGAACAAGATGTCTTTCTCTTCCAATTTTCTTTGAGTCATGAAAATAGGGTCATGAAACTGCACTAGCACAAATTTTCTGAAAAATTGTGATTGCAGAAGTCAAAATGACACAGAGAAGAAAATTCCATCACACAGATTTGACACAAATAGGAATAACATCCAATAAATAACATCCATAATTTAATTTAATTTTTTCATTAACTGTATGGCCTTTATAAACGCCAGCCTACATTTTTTAGGTATTTACTTATAATCGACAGATTGTTGCTTAATGTTACCATCTGTAACAAGTGCATGCAGCACTCCAGACATCCCATCCTCACACACCCTCCAACTCTGCGCAAGTAATTTCTGACTGTATGCTTAGTGGTAACTATTTTCATAATCAAATGCAGCCAGCGGATGGAGATGCATCTAGGTCGGCACTGATTGGGTAAAGTTTTTTTTGTTTGTGTTTTTTTTTTGTTCCTGCGGTTGCTACATGTTTGCATTATTGGGCCTAAAGGGCCAGACACCCTTCTCTGGGGCTTCATTTTAGTGCATGTGTCAGGAGTTTGGCTCGGAGAACCAAATGAGTTCAAGTTTCTCTCTGTTTTCATATGAAACACTCAGCCAACACCTCGGGCTCCGTGTAAACCTATAAAGGCTCTCTCTCTCTCTCTCTCTCTCTCATAGAGCATATTCCATGTTAAAATAAGGTTATGAGATCAGGGTGCTACATGAGGAGGAGAGGGAGACATTTTATTAATTTGATTTTAGAGTTATTCTTTAACGAGAATCATGAGAACATTTTACTTTTTTTCACTGTTTTTTTAATAGTAAAACATAACTCAGAGTGCGAAAGACCGAAGGTGTGGTCTGTTTAAAGTTATTAAACTAAAACAGTGTTTTCCACAAATCAGTACAGTGAAAAAAATCTACAGCAGTCCACAAGAGTAATATGTGTAACAATAAGATGGCTAGTTAGCAAAATATCTAATATGTTTTTTTCATGGAAACATCATTACGAGCCAAGTTAATTACATGTTATATGAGCCAAGTATAAAATTAGATAATGTATGCCAGCCTCATAAATACTCTACTAATCTGAAGTTTTGTTTTGTTTTTCCTTATCAAACTTCAATGAATGTACAGTTCTTGGTGGAGGGTCTGGACACTTCAGTTGTGACTGGCTTTCTGTTCAAAGTAAAAAAAACTACTATGGCTGCCAAGAAATTACTCTGTCTGGTGAACTTCTCAATCTACAAGCCCCTGCAGACGGTCGACAAAGAATTTAGTTCTATGCCCTAATGCTGATATATTATAATCTTTGTAGTTCAGATGATATTGAATGCCATGGATCAAAGGGCTGGAATTTACAGGTTGCTCTGTGACAATATGTGTCTGTAGAGTAGGTTTGGCAAAATGTTCTGTGCATATTGGTTGCATTTGCACCTGGATTTCATGCCTTCAAACATTCTCGTGACTATAGGATGTTTGGAAATGCAAGTGTAAGGGGAGTGTTAAAAAGAAATTAGAAACAGCGCTCGTCCTTGCTGGAGTTCTCTGTTGAATCCAGAGGGAGACCCTGCTAAGATGAGGCTTCACTTCATACGTTCACCTGTGTGAACAGATGAGGCGTTCAAATTGCGAGGTATGTGTGTCTCCTCTGTCTAACTGACCATAAATCATATGTTGTGGGAAAAGGCGATGCTGAGGGAGTGTGTATGTGTGTCTGAGGAAAATGGGGTGATGGGGTGAAAAGGAGGGTAAAGTCAGCGGCATGGGAGATAAAAATGGTTAAACTCGATGGGACTTACTGGAGCACATGTTGAGTTCAGGGCTGCGCATGCCGTAGTATCCGGCTGGACAGTCATGAAGACACTCCCCGTATTGCCTCATCCTCTCCCTCCGCAAAAACAGGAAGAGTTTGGGCTGGCAGTTTACACAGCCGTTGTCCCTGGAGCACACCGAGCAGCCTTTACAGATGGGGTATGCTGCATAGCTAGCTGCAGGACAAACACAGAAGAGTATACAGCAAAGGTAATTAATAAGATGGAACTAAATACATAAAAGGTGTACCTATGCTTCAACTTGTTGGATGGTCAAACAGTATCTGATCTCCACACTTTCTTCCCCTTTCAAATGTGGTTGTTCATAACAGCTTTAAACGTTTTGTCCTTCAGACGTGGTCGTATGAACTTTTGTAATGAACGTGAGTTTCGAGCATACCCAGGCCTTAAGACTGCACATTAACAAAACAAACAAGTTGTCTACAACTACATTGTACAAGCTATCTGGATTGCAGACCCTGTACACAGTGGCAGATATGCTTGTCGACAACCTTTTATTGACTAGACAGTGAGATGTCCATCACTGAAATAACATGAAAGCAGCCAGATATCACCAAAGGGATCAAAGCGTTTTAATGCATTCATCCCTTATTGATCATTGCACTCATATCCATCTTTTGCTCTGAAGGAAGATTATTGTACTTTTGTGTTACATTGAAACAGTCTTTCCTAGGTCCATTTAGTTTTCAAATGTCCTGCTACCTGGTGCGCCACGGTGACATAAACCCAATTAGGGTTAGGATACAGTGAGCATAGCTGTTACGGCTCATTGTGTGTAGAGGGTCTAAAAGAATGTTACAATGTTGAAGTATGAGGTCTCTGCTATCGTTAGTTGTTGCTGAGCCGCAATGGAAGATGCATCCAGCATGGTGGTTCATTTTGTGCTACTAACAGAAAATCATTACTCATCTGTGGATGGCCCTGACTTCACCCAACAACAAGGACAGGGTGAACTTGAGGCAACAGACTCAACTGTGGGAGGGCTGACCAGCAGAAGACAACCCGAGTGCAAGAATAAAAGCGAAACAACCATAATAGATATATCAGCAGGATATTCTCTAATTTATAGTAAATATGTTCAATTGTACAATTTGTCATTCATGCAAACTCTGGCTCCCCTCTCAATGTTCAAATGCTGATTGGTTATGAATGTGAATATTGAATTAATTCTGGTCAGAGCTGGCCTCCTGAACGATTGTGTTGAGACAGCCGATGAAAGCCCCCAAAACCGCAGTGCCTCTGGCCTCGGCTCGAGTTGCCTGCGGAAGACAAAGGAGCCAGTAAAAAGACAGTCCATTCCACAATAAGTGACTTTCAATGTAAACTCCTTAGTGTCCCGTTTACAGGAAAATGTCCTTGGGCAAATTTAATCTCTCCAAATGAGAGACACTTCAATTGATCTAAGCCAAGTTTTAAATATCACAAGCAGGGACCGGGTAACAGCGGCGCTCAATCTGAGCGACCTACCACAACGCTTAATAAAACACTGTGCAGCAAACTGGACAAACCCTGAGAGACAGAGCAGAGCATGCCTGTGTTACTGGCCATGGATCCGCATATTAGATTTCTCTGAACAGATTCACCAAGACGAAAGCGAGTGCTAAGTGGGCCCAGTGCAAGCATCAGTTTGTAATCATGTGAAAATCAGTCAGCGAATGTCAGACTCATCTTTTTTCATGTCTTTTGTTGGAGTGCTGGGAGACCATCTTTGGAGAGGAACGCAGGCTCTGCCAGACTACACTCATTCTCCTGAAGCCGGGGTAGATGGAAGTAAGATTAAGTGCTAATCAGAATGTGTCTCTGATGGTCTTTAGGGATGAGGTTTACAGCGACACCCCATCGATCACAGAAGCGCCAGGGTGTGCGTTCCAAGCCCATTTATCACATAGACTGGTGATGGTTCATTTCCAATCAGCATTCGCTCGGTAAGACATGAAGGAGAAATGAAAACCCCAAATTATGTTTAGTTTCAGGTCTTCCAGTTCTTCTGTACAACTGTCAATCCTATGTCTATGACATTATTATTTCTTATTTGAGTTGTGCCAATGCAGTTTGCCTCTCAATGAAATACAAAATTTTCAGAGTCATTTGGCTCTGCAGGTGCTGTTAATCAAGTTTACAACTGGATAAAGTACAACATATCAAATATCCAGCTGTTTGTTTGACCTTCTGATACAGATTTTAAATCGTGTGCCATACAGAAATTGCTAAAATAATCTGCATGCATTTATATAAAATTTCACTTTACACACATATATAATTAACATAAATGAATAACACTGAGTCATATAGTAAATGTCTCTTTTATTTTTATAAAGTCATTGCAGCTATATTAAAAGAGTTTCTTTTTTGCGTCAGGTAACACCACAAACATAATTTTTCAAATATACTGTCTCGTGTTTCATTCTGTCAATCCTTCCATTCAGTAAAACTAAACTGCAACATTTGCCCAAACCTCGTACTAAACCATATATTTCTGTAGAATATACAGTCGGGATGTGTTTATAGCAAACTGACATTAACATTAACTTGGTTACATTTACTCCCTCTGCCCTCGCCAAACTTGAACACAACATTGACAGAAAGGGAAAGCCAACTTGGCAAAAGTAAAGAACTGTGAGGCTGAAAAGCTTACTTCTCCGGCCCGTTTCGAGTGGGCTCAACTCCATAACTATTAACAGTGTGCTAACAACAATATCCTAACAATAATAGAAAAATAAAATCAGGGCCAGTGGTCATCTTAGATCATTGGCCAATCAATCAGCGGAGAAATTATGGTCAATGAAAAGTATCTCCGTGACTCTGGCTCAAAAATCCTATGGCTCACTCTTTGTTGTCAAACATTTGTTTTGCTGGTTGCTAATCTCGCAATGCACGGTGATTGAGAATAACATAATCACACGCCGCTTGAATGCAGTCGATCCCACATCCTGGAATTAGCATAAGACTGGGGGGAAGGAAAGGCTGTACATGGTGGAGACAAACTCTTTTGGTGCTGCTCTTGGGAGATTAGCTAGTGTGTATGTCTGTGGAAAGGATTGGAGGTTCAGGCCACAGGTATGTCAGGAAGGAGGCCACAATTCACAGTGTCTGGAGCAGCGCTGTCCAACTCACGTCCTACACTACCGGCATAACGTCTTGTGCACTTTACATCAATCTGTTGACGGCCAGCAGGTTTCCGTCATTCTTAAAGAAAACACTCAGTCATATGAATGTGATTTTTGAGACTAGAAGAAATATAAGAGTAGCTCCTTCACAGCAGAACTGAAACTGCGGGGAAAAAGTATTTGGAAGAGACTTGTGAGTACAACTTTTTACTTCTGCGTGCTTCAGTGGCATGAAAACAGTTTGCCAAAGCATGTAGCAGCCATGTTTTTAAGTGGCACTAAAGAAGAGAAAATCAAAGGGAAATGGGTTAAGTGTTAGTTCTGTAGTCTCTATAGATCACTGCAGCTTAATTTAATTTGGCAGGAGCATAAAGCTGTATGTTTAGTGTGCTAGGGCATGTGGTTTTTCTTTAACATTTTGTGTCTTTCTTCGTTCTCAACAACAGAAATATTCAACCCCTGTCCATCGGAATGCTTCTTCTTTCCCCGCAAATCATGTAATGCCTCGGCTCTTCTAGTTTTTCTTCTGTCAATCACATTGAAACTGAAGTGACCCAGACATATATGGAGAAGCCGCATAGAAAGTGGCCATTGTGAGGTTATGGATTCCAGGTTTCCTGTACCATGTTTTTTTTTCAAAGTGCCACTCCCATCACATGATAAACCAATGCCGTTTACGGTTTCAACCACGGAATACATATTACGTGAAACCAAACAAATCCGCAATTCCCACATCTGACAGCTAACTAAAGATCCATCTGAGTCTCAAGTATTGTATTTACAAAAGCCAGGGTCCATATGAACATCTCTGACAAAGACTTTTTAACACAAAGACTTAATAAGTGCCTAAATGTGCCTACAAGGCAGAGGGCTGGTATAAATATGTTGCTCTTGTACATGAACCACACAAAGTACCGTTCACATATCCTCATCCTTACCCATCAACAATATATTGTGACAGCTAGACAGAGTATGATTTTGTGTAACAAACAGAGAAAATACATTAGCAAATTGAATCCCTTTGTTGATTTGCATTTACGAGAGGAAAAGTACGTAATGTTGATGTTCTAAAAGAATATGTTGACATTTTGGGAAGTATACTTATTCATTTTCTTGCAGAGCGTTACAGGAGAATATTAATGCCACCTTTATGTCTGTCAATAAATAGCCTGTTAGCTTAGCTTGGCAAAAAATCTAAAAATAGGAGGAAACAACTAGCCTGACTCTGTACAAAAAAACAACTTCATTTTGGTTTTTGTGCAGAGGAAACAAAAGATCTAAAAAATGTTATTTAGTGAGATTTGGAGGTGCTGGTAGACGTATTTTGTTAGCCAAACTAGCTGTTTCCCTCTGTTTCTAGCCTTTATGCTTAACTAAGCTAATCGGCAGCTAGCTTCAGCTAGGCTACATATACGCATCAAATAAGTGTTCTTCCCAAAATTACCAGTCATGTTTTGATAATCATTATCTTTGAGACTATTGCATTTGACAATATTGAAAATCATAATTTAGACCATAAAATCAACATTACACTGTGAAATGGCCTTGCGGACATTCATAAGTATCTAGCATGTTCAGGCGAAGTTTTGTTCTTTCATTCATGCGAAACAGTCAGGCTCACAACATGAAGAATGACGGCATGTTTGGAGCATAGCACTTTCATTCTACCGCCATAGGCTTGCTGGGAGGTTTGCTCTGAAGCAGCTCAAGAGCAATTAGGGCTGCAGTGAGATCCAGCAGAAACCCAAACTCCGTCTCAGGTACGTTTTTATGAGTCCAAAGCAAGCGTGACAGACTGCTCTCTGGGCTGCCAAAAACCTCCACATATACAGGGGGTTCCACCCACGGCCAGCTAACTTCCTGCCTTCTACTCACCTACCGTTACCCATGAAATCATTCACATTGACCCATTCCAACTTTCTGCAACCCGAAACTCTAACAAGGCAAATTGCACATCATTTTTGTGCTCTTTTAGAGCCCCAAACTTAACACTGAGATCAAGAAGACATTCTTACATGAGGTTTCACTGATGTGGGTTCTTGCAGGACA